GCTGGAGTGGCCGCGGGGGGGTCTGGAGTCGGGCGGCCGCTGGCGGGGGACGCAGTCGCCCGGGCCGAGATTGGGGGGGCAAGGCGGGCGACAGAAGGCCGATGCCTCCGTCGCCCGGCCCTCTACAGAATCCACCCCCCAAACCTCCAGGTATTTCCCTCCTTAGAGCTGGCAACCCTACATTCCCCTCAGTGCCTGTTGGTAGGCAACTAAGCTTGGTCCTGTCACCTACTTTGGCCTTTGGGAGAAAACACATTGGGGCCAGTCCTGATAGGGTTGCCAACTCCAGATGGGAAATTCCTGGAGACTTGAGGGATGGAGCCTGAAGAGGGTGAGGTTTGAGGAGGGGTGGGACCTCAGACAGGTACACTGCCATAGACTCCACCCTCCAAACCAGTCAGTCCCACATAGGGAACCATTGTTGCCAATCTCCAGGTGAGGGCTGGAGAGCACTCAGAATTACAACTGCTCTGCAGAAGGGAGGGCAGAAGTCAGCTGAAGTCAAAGGGGCAGATAATGGTAGGTTGGTGGCTAGCTGGGAAGGAGATGGGGTTGCCAACTACATGCTGACAAATTCCTGGGGATTTGAGGGGTGGAGCCTGGAGAGGGTGGGGTTTGCAGAGGGGTGGGACCTCAGACAGGTAGAATGCCATAGACTCCACCCTCCAAACCAGCCATTTTGTCCTGGGTAACAATTGTTGCCAATCTCCAGGTGAGGGCTACAGATTACTCACAATTACAACTGCTCTTCAGGTAGCAGAGATCAGTTCCTCTGGAGAAAACAGTGGACTCTGTCATTATACCCTGCTGAGGTCACCACAGCAAATTGACACTGTTTGCCCAAAGCCAGAGCACTCCCCCAGAGCCTCTTTCTAGATCTCGTTGTATTGCTTTCACAACGGGCTTTACTGCTAGTCAATTATAAAGAAAACATTTATAAAGTATATCACAGGTGGTACTGGTCCCCAGATAAGATAGCTAAGTGTAATGCGTCCTTGTCTAAAAATTGTTGGGAATGTAAAGTGAATGTAGGAACATTTTTTCACATGTGGTGGAGGTGTGAAAGAGTATACAGATTCTGGAAAATGGTGCAGAAGTTGATTGGAGAAATTATGAGTATAACGTTGACTTTGTCCCCTGAAATTGCTTTGTTGAATATGATTCCAGAATGTCATAAGCAGAGTGAAAGATATATCTTAACCTATATATTAACAACTGCTAGAATTTTATTAGCCAAAAATTGGAAGCAATCCCTACAAGAGAAGATATAATTTGTAAACTATTAGAGATTGTAGAAATGGAGACGTTAAGCTTAATGTTACAAGGGAAGGATGATAATATTTTTTATACAAGATGGACGTGCCTGTATAAATGGATAAATAAGATATGGAAAATATAGACTCAACAGTAGATATATGTAAATTATGTAATTTGATACAATACTGGAAACTGATAAATAAACTTTTTAAAAAAAGAGTGCCAAGGGAGTGTCAAGAAGCAGGGGATTGGACAAGGGGTAGCTCAACTCACAGTGGACCACCAGCAAGCCCAATATCCACTAAAGGTAAAGGTTTCCCTTGCTCGAAAGGTAGTGGAATCTGACTCTAGGGGGCAGTGCTCATCTCCGTTTCCAAGCCGAAGACTTCATGTGCTCATGTGGCTAACATGACTAGACGCCGAAGCGCACGGAACGCTGTTACCTTCCCACCGAAGTGGTCCCTATTTATCTACTTGCAATTTCTTGCTTTCGAGCTGCTAGGTTGGCAGGAGCTGGCGGCAGAGACGAGAGCTCACTCCATCCCGCGGTACTAGGGTCTCGAACTGCCAAACTACAGACCTTCTGGTCTGCAGCTCAGCATCTTAACCTCTAAGCCACCGTAAAACTGGAAATCTGATGCCAGGAATTGAACCTGGGAATTTTCGTGTGCAAAGCACATACTCATCCACCGAGCCACAGTTGTACGATCAAGACTAAGCAGCTCTTGTCTCTTAAGCTCAAAGAAATAGGCCGCTTGGGATACCCATCATCAATACCTCTGGCAACCCAAGCCAACTAAACTTTATGGGGAAACACACTCACTGTGTACAGTATTCTCAAGGAAGTGCGCATAAGAACACGGCCTGAGTTGATTGGATAGTTGGTGTACAAGGCATTTAAATGGCATTAATTATCTTTGTAGAGTTAAATATATGCCATAGTAAGTCGGACTTAGTGGATGTGGATATTGAAATTACAGGTTGCAGTTTATGTAGCTAGTTTTTCTTGGAGATTTTTCCAAGATCACCAAAACCTGAAAATCAATAGTCTCTCCAGTCCCCTGAACAGTACCGTGTAGAAATCTGCCCCCCTATTTGTTGGTCATCTACAATCACTGGGTAACAGCTAGTCTTTGAAATAACTATATTTGAGTAACATTAAATAGGCTGAGAATGAATACCTCCGTAAGGCAGATCAGCATTATGACATGCAAACTGCAGACAGACCACCTAGTCTCATCCATTAGGTCTATGCTTTTATATTTACAACAGAGAGGTAGCTGTGGACCGGGAAGGGAGATTAGGATCAACATGCAATCTGAAAATAGATACACTAGCAAATTACAAAAATGAGTTCTAGTACAGTAGATAAGGGACTACACATAAGAACATAAAGAGAAGCCATGTTGGATCAGATCCAAGGCCTGCAACAAACTAAGATGGCAACTTTGCTCTCATAAAGATCCAAGCAAACATCAAAGACCCAGTAACATCAGCCATAGCATCCCAGGTTCATATTCCTGTTCTTCCTCTAATGTGATTTATACCATCATGTGTCAGCAATGCCCTTCCAACCCTCTGCATTGCACAAACAGGCCTGTCCCTTCGACAAAGAATTAATGGATATAAGTCTGACTTCAGAAGCCACAACATTCAAAAACCAGTGGAGGGACATTTTAACTTTCCAGCGCATTCAGTTGCTGACCTAAAAGTAGCAGTTCCCTGTTCTGTCCACTGGCCGCCACCAGGGGCCAGCGACTACCCAGAGCTTGACCCTGGGTGAA